GTGACACTGCAGGAGGAGCACGGTAGTGCTCCCAGCACTTTTGGCGAAAGACAGGAGGAGCGCGATCGCACTCCGGCACTCTAGAGGTTAAAGCCTCCTCCTGCGCTTCTGTCCCAGGCTGCTGTGGGTGTGAGCACTGGATTGACGGGGGTGTTAGTGCAGCTGCCTCTAGATCTAAGTCTCCCGCCGCCTCCTGACCCCGCGCCGGGCGTGGTGCAGGTTCTGCTGTGTGGATGGGGTGTGAGGGCTGCCGGCCTCTGCCCTGGGGCTGCGCCTGCGGGGCCAGGTCCTGGTTCCGGGTCTGTCACGCCCTGGGCAGCCCTAGGCGTGCGGAGGAGGCTCTGGATGGGGCGCTGTTCCAGACGACCTTTCTCAGGTGCCTCCGCTGGACAGAGAACGCCACCATTCACCGGCCCATCCTCTGTCCGTGACCCCGCCATTCTTAAGCAGAGAAGTCACCCCATTCACCCCCTTCCCCCACCGGTGTGGCAGCCACGGCCCCGGACAGAGCAGGACATCCCAGCCCACCTCGGCCCCTGTAACCACTGCCCTTTCTCCCTGCCCAGTTCCATGTCCGTGACCAGCCTGGAGCCTGAGCTGCAAGCCAAGCTGCGGGAGAGCCACCCTGAGCTCCGCCACGTGTACTTCAACAAGGGACTGTGAAGGGGAGGACGCCGGCCCAGCCCGCCCGCTCGGACCTGGTGCGCCAGCGAGGGAGGCCTCCCGCCTGGCTTCTCCCGGGCGCAGACCTTCTCCACGACCCACGTCAGCCTGTAGAGTCGGCCGCTCCGTCCAGCACGGCGCCGGGTGGGCCAGCACCCCCGTCGCCCTCTCACATCTGAGTCATGGGATAATGAGCAGAAATGGCCTTCCTGTAGCTTTTATGGTGATTGTTTCCTCAAAGACAACAGTCCAGCCCTCACCTCGAGTTTTTAAAAGTGCTGCTAGGCACAGAGTAGATGCTCAAGAAATTGATTATCAGTCAGTGCAAAGGAAATCGGGTAAAATACTGAATTGTCATCCCACTCTTGTTTCAGAGCAAAGCAAGGAGGCAGTGATTTGGAAAGCACACAGCTCTGATGCTAAACTATAAAACATAGCGCGTAGGGTAAACCCCGCGTCACGGAACGGACACGCGTGGCGCGGCGTCCTGCTCTCAGGAGCTGGGCACTCCCTGCTGCTGGACATCTCTGGTCGAACCTTAAACTGCTTCTGTTTTACGTTCCTACGAAAACGTTGTACCTGTTGGCTTGATACTCAATTACATCAAACACTCAGATAACTGCCATGTGCACGCGTCAGTGTAGGAAGCGTGTTGGGTCCTGGTGCGGCGTGCTGGGACGTTCGGGTTCGTCTGGCAGATTTCAGGAGGGAGCGCAGGGCCAGCCCCTACGGGTCTTGTCTCATCCTTGCTGATCTCATTGGCTTTCGGGAAGATTCGGACATCATCCGTGTGAATCGGTGGCTAAATGATTTTACTTGAAGGTTGTGTACTGCATCTGCCCTGTTTGAAATAAGGCTCCATGGACCACTGTTTACATCCCTGTAGTAGTTTCACATTTAATATAGTTCATGCAGTAGAGACTGTGTTTCCGGTCTGTCCGTGTTCACAGGTGTAGGCCAGGCGGTGCGCCCTTGCAGGTATTGATTCCACTGTAATTCGGAGATGTGTACGTGGAAAAACGTACAACAGTGCTGGCAGATCTCTGGCCATGAGACGGGTGAGTTCCCCATCCAGAAACAGGGTGTGCCTCGGGTGCGTTCCTCTTCTCCGAGGGGTGGATGGGCCACTCGGAGCCTTCCTTTATGCCTCCAAAATGTTCTCCGTTTTTCCGTCTTAAACCCTTTGAAGCAAAAGAGGTTCCCACACACATGCCGGTCTTGCGTGTGTTGTGTTGCCATAGATGCTGCTCTTGAAGAAGTGCTCAAAGCCTGAAATTCAAGGCCATCGCCCTGAGGTGCTTCTGGGGTGCTCCTACTGAGAGCCCAGCCCGGGAGGCCCTCCCACGCCCGGCTACCCCAGAAGGCTCACCCCTCCCTGGGAGCCCCCTCCCCCCCCCAGCATCCTCACCTTTGCTGAAACAGCAATGGCTGGGCAGCAGGTGGATAAACGGCCATTTTTAGGTGCCATTATGAAAGGGATAGCAACTGTGGAGCTATGTCTACTTAACATTATCGTAGGAGCTCTGGCTCCTGGCGCTTTTATTTCCTGTCAGCGTCACTGTGGTTTATAAAAAGGAACAAACGGACAGGATGCCCTTGGCCACCTCCCGGCGACCTGGAGGACCGCTCCCAGGAAGTGCAATGGCCGGGAAAGGCGCTGGGCCCCAGGCCGGAGTGGCCGAGCGCGTGCTGCGGGCGGTGAGGATGCCCTTGGCCACCTCCCCCGGCGACCGAGGACCGCTCCCAGGAAGTGCAATGGCCGGGAAAGGCGCTGGGCCCCAGGCCGGAGTGGCCGAGCGCGTGCTGCGGGCGGTGGCCGCTCAGTGTTAGCGCAGTGTCTTGCCAGTGTGGGGACCAATGTACTGTTCCAGTTCAGCTGGATGAAATGTTCAATAAACTCAGAATGAAAGCAAATCCTCTCTTTTATTTGTACGTAAAGCATCTGCCGATGGCACCTTCCATTCAGACTTACTGCCTGGGGTGCCGTCAGTATCTCCCAGTGGGGAGAGAGTTCTGTTTTATGCCTTTAGCGGGAAATATATTTCTAGTTGTGGCCACCAGCCTTCCACCTTGCTGACCCCACACATAGAGCCCCCACCCCGCACCACACAACATGACTCCAGGCGTGTGCGTGTGCATGATGAGCCGGGACGGGCAATTCTGCTTACACGTAACTAGCACCATGGCACGCGGGCAGGAAAACCTGCCTCTGGGTGGGTTGTCGGATTCTGATGGGGAACTAGCATTTGCCATAGTTTACAGAGAAAATGCAAGCAACCCAAGACAGGAGCCTCATAACAGACTAAGGGATGAGAAAACATTTCACCCCCTCGCATCTCTGCATGTCTTGCTACCGTAACCCTGTTCATCATGTCAGTCATTTAAAATATCCAAGAGCTCGGGTCTCGGGGTCAGAGCCGTCCGGTCTGGGTTACTCACCTACATGCACTTGGGCTGCTGACCTTCGGTTCTGTCTGTTTGGAGAAATCGGTGCCTCTACCTCAAGGAGTCGTAAAGATGAACAAGGGAGTCCCTGCGCAGCGTGTGCGTATTGCCCGGCGTCCGGCAAACGTCTAAATACGCGGTGCCCATCAGACATTCACTTGCTCTAGAGCAGCGGTTCTCAACCTGTGGGTCGCGATCCCTTTTGTGGTCGAACGACCCTTTCACAGAGGCTGCCTAAGAGCACCCTGCATATCAGGTATTTACACGACGATTCATAACAGTAGTGACATGACAGTTATGAAGTAGCCACGAAAATAATTTTATGGTTGGGTCACAACATGAGGAACTGTATTTAAAGGGCCAGAAGGTTGAGAACCACTGCTCTAGAAACACTGGACATGGTTCCAAGTGCTGGCTTGTCACCGGCAGGGTAAGACGCCAAAACCCTGGCAACCTCCCAGAGCTCCCCCTAACCTCCTAAACATCAGGTTGGAACGGACAGATGGAGATGCTCGGCTCCATCTTTCTAAATTGTCTGACAATTAAGGTTTTGCCTATGAGAGACGCAGGCCGGGAAAGCGCGCACGAAGGCAGGCTGGGCTGCAGGGGCTGCTCCAGGCCGCCCCGGTCCCCGGAGGACCAGCGCGGAGCCGAGACCTCACTCCCAACCTGAGATGCTGACAGCCCTGTCCAGAAATATCAACACCCGGAACCTGCTAACGAAAGGAGTTTTTCCTTTGTGTTTTCCGGGTTTCACTGAAAACTGAAGAAAAATAAGCTTGCGTTTGGCGGTGCTGATGGACACAAGGGAGCGATTTTCAACCTTTTTCATCTCTTGGCGCACATACACTAATTACTAAGTTCTGTGGCCTGCCAAAAAAGTTATATATTTTTTCCAATCTGAGAAAAAAATAGGTATAATTTTGATTCATTCACACTGGATGGCTATTGTGTTGGCTGTTGTCATTTTTTATTTGACATTCTAAGGAAGAGAGGGCAGTGCCCCTGACTACACAGTCAGGTGTTACTGCACGTTTTAAAAATTCTGGGGCACACCGGCCAAAATCGCTGATAGAAAATATCACGTAGACCCCCGATACTCAAAGTGTGGTCCTCGACCAGCCGCCCCCAAGCTTGTGAGAAGTGCCTGTCCTGGGGCCCCACCCTCAGGCCTGAGCCAGGAAGTTCTGGCTACACAGCCCATCGCTGGTGCTCCCGAGATCTGAGCTCATTTACCCCTCCCTCGCCAGGTTCCATGAACATGCCGGGTTCAACCCTGACACCCTCGGGGGCCAGCACCCACAAGCGGCGAGGCCACAGGCCTCTGTTTGCCCCTGCCGTGCCCCCAGCACAGACAGCAGCTGGCAGCAGCCCCGGTCCCTGTGGTAACTGGTTCACCCTGGGCTCTTTCTTGGAATTGGAACAAGTGTTCTCAGTTTCCAATGTCCCAACGCGGACAAAATCAGTTTTGTGCCACGGAGGGGTCATCGCTAGGCTGTGGAAGGACCACGGAACCTGGGGCTTTTCTGGGAACGGAGCTGGAAGTGAGCATGACCCCCGGGAGCTCAGGGGCGACGGCTGTGAGCAGCCAGTCAAAGCCACTGCCCGGAGCCGGCCCTCTGTTCCCGAGAATGGCTGCCACGAGGCGTCTGGGGCAGAGAGCCCACGACATCCCCCCTCGGAGAGAGAAGGCACTGAGCTCAGCTGAGTGGGCTGACTTGTGTCGGGCTGCACAGTGGCCCGGCCACCATCGGGGTCCACACCTGTCCAGCCCCAGGGCTTCCCACTGGACCTCTCAGCCCCTCCAGCTCTGGTAGATCATTTCATGATGCAAAGTGGTGTGTTGCTGCTGTGACCTAACTGGGACAGTCCAAGGACTGTGAGAGGTCAATTCTGTCACACACACAGGAAAGGTTAGTGGGTCACACAGCGTTCAAAGTTAAAGTTAGGTCAGTGAGGCCTAGGAGGGTCCCTGTTAGTCGTTAGGAGCAATGGCTTTCAATGCATGATCCCAGACCAGCAGCGACAGCACCCCCAGGCCTAGGAATGCAGGGTCCCGGGCCCTTTCCACACCAGCTGAGTCAGAACTCTGAGGGCGGGGCCCAGCCAGCTTTCAGTCTCTCCAAGTGGCTCTGACACATCCGCGATTGAGAACCGCCGGGGGGAGGTGGGGGTGGGTGCTGGAGTTGGGTTCAGTTCAGCTCCGTGAACTGAGTCAGGCTAAGCTCTCCAGACCTGTTTTCTGTCTGTAAAATGAAGGTAACACCACTCCCCTCTGGGCAATTGTGAGAATCTCTGGGTGTTAACGAGACAGCACTCACCCTGTGCACACTCAGCCCATGTGGGGTCTCAGAGGCCAGAGTGGGACAACACTGCTGGTGAGTCTACGGGGAAACTGGCCTCTGGGGCTGCGGGTGGGCGTGCAGATTGCTGTGATCCTTCTACAAGGCAGTTTGGCCATATGTATCAAACAAAAGCACACGCGCCCCTTTAGGCATTGCCACGTCTAAGAATGAATCCCATGGTTCAAGCCCCGGTCAGGGTGAGTATGGGAAATATATATATACCAATATACATATGTGTATATGCATACCAATATACATATTGGTATACATATACATACATATACATACATATACATATACATGTACATATACATACACACACACACATCCTATATAATAAAAGCCTAATACGCAAATTGTCCCCTTGACCTGGAGTTTGACCGCTCGCTATGACGTGTGCTGACCCCCCATCCATGCACGAATTCATACGTGTTGGCGACGTGGTGCTGGCAGTGGGCTGCAGTGTAGGCACTGCAGCCCTGATGGGCCCCAACGAGAGTGGGACCAAGGCAGGATGGTGGAGCAGGTGAGCAGGCAGTGCCAGGCCAAGGTGGGTGCAAGCGGGGGCCCGATTGCCCCGCTGATCGCCCCACAGATGGCAACTGGCAGCGGTAGGGGGCGGGGCTGCCACCTGGCTCCCAGGTGCTGAGGGAGCCAGGCGGGGGGGACCATGGCGCCAGGTCAAGGCAGGATGCCAGGCGGGGCTGTGGGGCTAGGGGCGTGAGTTGGGGCCCAATCCCCACAAGCCACCCTGAGGGACCCCATCCATGCACGAATTCATACACTGGGCCTCTAGTATGTGTGTGTGTGTGTGTGTGTGTGTATTCCCCTCTGATGAGAACTTGAAAATAAAAGCATTAATCACACAGATGAACACACCGAGGTTCACGGAAGGCCTGGCTATTCCCAGGGGAGCCGCATGGGGAAGGTGGAAGAAGGGGAGGTCAGAGGGTTGAAGGGGAGGTTGGAGGGTGTCCCCAGAGAAACTGCCAGCCAGAAATCAGCAACAGGACACCCAACGGTGAAATCATCCTTTCAAGAAAGAAGGTGGGTGGTACCCGTTGGTTTTCACAGATGAACTAAATGGAGAAGAAGGAACTCTGGATGGTGAGGTCATATGTCATGTTTAAATTTTCTCCTTTATGCTTTTCTGATTTTTCACATTTCCTTCTGCTTCTGAACTCAGGACATATTAAATGCTATTTTTTAAAGCCCCTGCAGATGATAATCTCATTTTTCCAATAAATAAATGCATTGATATTTATAAAAGACACATTAGCAGGATATATACCAAAATGGTTGGTGTCTCCGAGTTTACAAGTAACCTTTGTATTTTTACAGTTTTCTGGATCTCGGGTTTCCTGGAATGCAACTGTATTCATTTTAAAATTGGAGCAAACACACGTTAAATTCAGGCCTTGCGGAACACCACAGCTCTGTGGGCCTCCTAGGGTCACAGGCCAGCTCCCTGCTGCGGGTTGGGAGCCACAGGCAGGGAGAGGGCTGCAGCGCGGAGAGGCGTCACCAGGGGGCAGCGTTGCCTACAAGATCGCGCCGCTGGACCGGACGCTTCTCTGAGCGGAGGGCGGGTGGCTCAAGGCCAGCGTGGTATCTGGATTATCAAAGCCAAGTCAGGAAGAGGGTGGAGGAAGGTACGAGAAAGACAGGATCTCACCAGCTGCGGTAGACAGGAAAGATGCCCTGGAATGGCGTCCGACAGGCAGAAATGGACTCGTTCACTGGGGCTGACGGTCCCAGGCCCCGATCCCAGTGGGAG